CTATGAGTCGGAAACGACTCGATGGCACTTAACAACAACAACAACATTGATATGGTCTATTACATTGACCGATTTTCTAATGCTGACTGACCATCTCTACATTCCTGGAATAAATCTCACTTGGTCATGGTGTATGACTCTCTTTAGATTCTGTTCACCAGTAGTTGGTTGAAGATTTTTACATCTATGTTCATAAGAGACATTGGCCTCTGCTTTCTTTTCTTGTGGTGTCTTTGTCTGCTTTGGGAACCAGGGATATGTTTGCTTCATAGAATGAATTAGAGAGTATTCCTTCCTTCTTTATCTTTTGGAAGAGTTTAAACAGTATTGGTATCAATTCTATAAATGATTGTAGAAATCCCTAGCGAAATCATATGTAATTTGTTATTGATTCTTGACTGTCCGCTGTATCCCAATGCTTTCCTCTGCTCCCTGATACAGAGCCCCTCAAAGCTGAGTGCCATTTCCTTGTTGTATTTGTGGGGAAGAGTTGGAACAATAGTCTGTTTACACCACTATCTTCCTAGGCTTCTACTTAATTTTTAAAAATTTCCCAATAAATGAAGTTTACACTTCATTTTCCTTTGACTCATTTATTGTCCATAAGGTTCTCTACCTTAATTTCAATCCTCACTCTAATCAAAACTGCCATTTATTAACTTTAGGTAATACATTCTGTGAGTCTAATTTCCTTTTGTAAGCCTATAGCTGCAGAACTTCAGCTGAGAATTCAATATCTAATTAAATGTTCAAACAGAAGTAGTAGGGATAACTCAAATCTCTTTCTTTAAACTCAGAGTTGTGAGAGCTTTTCGAGGATCATCCCAGTCACTGCTGAATTGAATGAACAATATTTGCTAAATTTTTAAGGCCTAGACACAATATTAAAACTAAAAGTTAATTTTCATTTCTACCGCACTCAATTCAAGCTTTTACAATACAATATTTATTTCTTCCCAGCGTTCTCAAATTGAGACTGTCATTACCCAATCACTCAGGACATACTTCTTCTCCATTATTCACATAGTATAATTTTACAATGATTTATATAATTAAAATTATCTTACCTGCACTTTTTTTAAAGCTACTGATACTCCATCCAAGAGACAGGCTGCTCTATAAACTTCACTAAATTGTCCACGACCAATTTTCTTTTCTATTCGAAAGTTGGCTAATGTATTATAGCCCATATCCGGTCGTAAGGCCTTCTGTAATTAAAAAAAGTCAGAAAAGTTTTCAATCACACAACATATAAAGAGAAAGTTCACTGTTCATTTTCAACTGTAGATATCCATAACACTTAACAAATAGTTGTTGAATATCTACGCATGCCTGATACTGTTCTATGTACTGGCAAACCAGACAGACACTATCTCTACACTTGAGGAACTTTCGTTCCAGGGGTGGAGAAAAATAATAAACAAGGTAAATATGAAATATATATATAGCATATGAGGTAGTGGTAAGTGCTAAATAGGAAAAATAAATCAAAGAAGAGGGATAGTAAATGTCAAGAAATTAGAGGGATTTAAAATTTTTCAATAAGAATTTCCTGTACATCAAGTACTTCTCTGACATTTCTTTTTCAAAGAATCTCTGAGTTGAAATGGACCTTATTATAATTTATTATGAATACAGTAATTATGTTATTCATGAATTACTTAACTTTCTGATAAAATGTTATTTAATTTCTGCAACAAATATTTCCAGTGGCAGGGAGCTTACTACCACATCAAAATGGTTTATTCAGTGAAACAGTTTTTGTTCAAGGAGAAAGTCCTTCCTTTTTTTTAACTAATATATTTTGAGTAGCACCAGTCACTAGGCACTAGGCACAATGCTAGCTACTAGGGAAACAAACGAATCAAAAACGTTCTCTGCTCTCAAAGAGCATACCCAAATACAAGGAAAGGTTGGTTCTACACTGTACTGTGATAGAAATAATTACAGAGTATTATAGGGTAAAATTATAAGGTATTGTGGGACACAATGATAGGGTATGGTGGGGCACAGCAGTCATCTATACTTTGAAACAAAACCCAATTTCTTAATGTTACTCTTTGTCCTAGTATTTTTGTTATTTGTTTCTTCATTCATTCAATCATTCCATCATACGGCAAACATTAAACAAATCACCTGTGACACAATATTATGGGTCACTATATAATAGTCAAAGGAGCCCTGGTGGCACAGTAGTTAAGAACTCAGCTGCTAACTGAAAGGTCAGTGGTTCAAAGATGACTAGCTGCTCTTGTAAAGATTACAGCCTAGGAAACCCTATTGCGATGAGTCAGAATCAGCTGGATGACCCACAACAACACATGATATAATTAAGTAAAAATAAAACTAGGAATAGATACATCTTAAGAATGAAAACAAGAAGAAAAAATAGAAAAAATGAAACTAGTAAATAAAGGGAGACAACTTGCCATGCTACTCATTTAGAAGAGGATTTTTTTTAGTTATTAAGATCAATTCATAACTCTCACTGTAACAAAATGAAATACATTTAATAAAAAAACTTATAAAGCATAACTTCTTAGATATATTCAGTGGATATTAGCAATTTTTAAATTTAATTTTTTAACTTTAAATAAAAGTTTCATTTAAAATGGAAAGGACCTTTAAATATTGCCTATGCTTTTCCAAGAATTTAAAAAAAAAAAAAATGACACACCAAAAAGTCTTTAACATCTAAGAAATAGAATTCCTTCCTTTCCCATACACTTAATGACTATTCTTCCTCCTGATGAAGACCTGTCAATCTCAATGGTAAAATACAGCTTCATCATTATGAACCCTATCATACAATCCATATTACTTTACATTTGACTGGGAATTCCATCTTCTGTCTGCACAATAACTTGACAAATATTAGCGTGAACTGCTAAAGCAGTGTGACAACCGCATGCTGAGAGCAAAGTCTCACTAATGTGTTTTGGCATGCAGGTTTGTAATCACACATTTACATATGCAATGACCTACATTTGCATGTCAGATCACACACTGTTGTGGTTTATTAAGACTGGGCACCTCCCTGTGCTTGGCGGCCAGCGTGGCAAGAGAGGGCCAGAGGGCGGTGTTTTTTGGCAGTTGAGGGATGAACTGCCACCAAGGATTAGGTTGATATGGCCTGAGCATTAGACACTTCATTAGACGTAATCTGTTTAACAGTGGGCAGTGTATGTAAACTTCACAGCCCATTTGCGGCACCTTTTTCCCCCCATGGCCTTTCTTCAAAGGGCAGTGTGGGTGAGTGACAGCTTGTCTCATCTGCTCCCATGTCCTGTCACCCAGTGTAGACGTGGAGAGCTGACATGAGAAAGAAGCATAGCTGCACATTTCCAACTACCCTGGGTCTCTTTGTCACACTGCAATTTGTATAAAAATAAGCTTGTATAGGATGAGGTCTCCTTTAAGAGATCATAAGACAGGTAATACATATATTTCGGTAATGATTATAATATATTGTATTCGCTGCCATACTTCTTTTTGATGAGTTGCATCCCACTGCAGGAAATATTATATTAGGTGCTTGAAATAAAAAGATATCATCAAATGAGTTTCTGCTCAAGTAAAGAACTATTTTTAGGAAAGAGCTATATTCTCTCTCTCTTTTTTTTTTAATAAAGCCCAGTTCCCCGTATCTTTTAGCTTAGCATCTTGAGTTATACTGGGAATAAAACAACTCAGCGAAACAATGAGATTCAAATCAGCATGAAATGTAAACTGAATAAAATCACTTCAATAGACTTCTCCCGTCTCAATTGGAATTCCAACTTGGATTTCAGTCTCTTGCTCTCTCCCTTAAAGCCCAGGTCCCTTCGTGTTCCCACCCCCCCAGACCCCTCCCCCAAGCCGCACTAGATGGCTTTTGAATCTGAGATGAGTCACGAAGAGGGTCTTCAATCCTCTAAGTAAAAACGTACTTACTCTGTTTCTTCCACTATAAAGTGAGGATAATGATGCTTTGCCTGCAACAATGGGCTCTTAATATTATTTCCACACCTAACCATGGATCTCATCTACCAGCCACATCATATATACCTCAAATGCACTGTGAGCTTTGGCCTCTCCATGGATTTGCATTTGCTTGTTCTCATGCCTTGTGAGGCACCTCTTTTTCCTTCTCCACCTAGTAAACCATGGCTCATCTTTGAGATTCAGTTCCATTGTCAGCACTTCTAAGGAATCATCTTCAGCTCACCCAGCCAAGTCTATTGGCTCTTACCTCTGTGTTTCCATAGCAACTAACAGTAGTCATTCAACTCAAAAAAGAGTTGTAAAAGTGCAGGTACTGTGCTAGGTTCTGGATCATACTAAATTTTTTTTTTTTAGTAATATTTCATTGTACTTTCTGTGAAAGTTTACACAGCAAATTAGGTTCCTCCTATTTGACAATTTCTACACTAAATTTTTAGTGATATTAGTTACATTTTTTTTATAATGTGTCAAACATTCTTATCAATTGTATTCAGGTTATTCTGTTTCCTGTTCTCTAGCTTCCCTACCCACCTTGACTTCTCATCTTTGTTTTAGAGTAATTGTTAAAATTTTGGTCTCATACAGATGGTTTTTTTCATGGAACACTGTACTCATGGATAATATCCTTTGTGTGTCATTCTATAATTTTGCTAAAAGATGACCTCAGGGGATAGTTTCAGTTCAAGGTTTAAAGAATCACACTGATTTTTAATGCTTAGTTTATGCATGTATATTTCCTCCCTCTATACAATGAGCTTCTCAAAGGCAGAGACCACTTTATTTATCTTTATATCCAGATGTCATGAAGGTTGTATGACATAAAGTAGACAATAAACATTTACTTAATAAGTGAATGTATTTGAAAGAACTTACTGAATGAAAGCAGCTTCAAATACATAGTATATGGCTGCAGTAACTGATAGGCTCTAAGTATACTCCAGTATGGAAGGAGTATAGTGTAGTGAGGAGCTCTGGTGGTATAGTGCCTAAAGCATATGACTGCTAACCAGAAGGCTGGAAGTTCAAACCCACCAGCCACTCCTCAGAAGGCAAGTTGGGCAATCTACTTCTGTAATGATACTGCTTCAGAAACCCAAGAAGAGGTTGCTATGAGTCGGATCCGACTCAATGGCAGTGGGTTTTATAGAGTCGTGAAAAGCACACCTTATCTAGAAAGTAAGTCATCTGCTTCTGCCACTAATAGCTCCCCAAGAGGTGAATCCAGGAAATTCCCTTTAATCCTACATTCAAGCAGCCATTAGTAATAAATCATGTCCCTGTTAAAGCAATGCGGGGTACACTGAACATAGTGCTTTCAAACAATTCTTGCTCCCAAGTCTGACCTAGGTATGGCATTTCCAAAGAATACATGGCATTTCCATGTGTTGTTCTTGTTAGGTGCCATTGAGTTGTCTCTGACCCATAGTGACTCTATGTACAACAGAACAAATCACTGCCCAGTACTGGGCTAGCCTCATGATCCTTGCTATATCTCAGCCCATTGTTGCTGTCACTGTGTCAATCCATCTTGTTGAGGGCCTTCCCCTTTTTCATTGACTCACCACTTTACCAAGCATGACATCCTTCTCCAGGGAACGGTTCTTTCTGACAACATGACCAAAGTAGGTGAGACGAAGTTTAGCCATTCTTGCTTCCAAGGAGCATTCTGGCTGCACTTCTTCCAGGAAAGATTTGTTAGTTCTTTTAGTAGTCCATGGTACTCTCAGCATTATTCACCAATACCACAACTCAAAAGCATCAACTCTTCTTTGGTCTTCCTTATTCACTGTCCAGCTCTCACATGCATAAGAGGCGACTGAAAATACCATGGCTTGGATTAGGCACATCTTAGACTTCAAGGAGACATCTCTGCTCCTCAGCACTTTAAAAAGGTCTTTTGCAGCAGATTTGCCTGATGCAGTACATCGTCTGATGTCTTGTCTGCTGCTTCCACTGGTGTTGATTGTAGACCCAAGTAATATTAAGACCTTGACAACTTCTATCTTTTCTCCGTTTATCGTGATGCTGCTTATAGGTCCAGTTGTGAGGATTTTTTGTTTTCTTTATGTTGAGGTGTAATCCATACTCCAGATGGTAGTTTTCAATCTTCATCAGTAAGTGCTTCAAGTCATCCTCACTTTTTCAACAAGCAAAGGTGTATCATCTGCATATCACAGGTTGTTAATGAGTCTTCCTCCAATCCTGATGCCACATTCTTCTTCAC